CTAAACAGACCGAAACAGATCTTTAGTACATAGGTGAACGGATTGTAAGTAAGAGAATACTTAATGTAGATAGGAAAAGCTGTAATCTTATACCATTTCAGCTTTTGAGTGCCACTTAGTGTCTGTGTGGACGTACAAATGAGAGAGAAAAAAGAAGGATATGGTAAGAGTGATAGAGAAAAAGCAAGAGAAGTAAAGAGAGAACAATAAAGAGAGAAGTAGAAGGAAAGCGAGAGAAAGAGAGAGAATGATAATGATAGACATGTAATCTTTCGTTTCACTTCACTTCCCTGTACCCACCCCCGACCCTACACGCCTCCATCAACGTAAAAAGAAGTAAGTAAAATTGTAATCCAATACGTGCAAGTGAAAATCGATACACCAATACGCTCTCTTTTCCTTCCGTCTTATTCGTCATTCGCACCTGCATGTATCAACTACTATGTATTTTTTTTAAGTGTTTTTCGATTTGCTTATTATATTTGTTTATTTTTTATCTTTTGTCATAAGGCGAGGAAAGATGAGCGATTCGTGGTGTCAAGTTACGTGAATGAGATTACCGCTTTAGATTTCCTGATGATGTGAACTGCACGGATCAACATCCAAATTGAACCTGATCTTCCTCTCTCAGCTGAAAAGCCAACACCCGCGCCAAATAATCGTCAAAGCAACTCGACCAATATATCCACATACCAAACACATCACCTGCTTGGTTTAGTAATTACAACAACGTACCCACGACGGAGAATCTTCATTTCTTATCTGTTGCTTGTCTTTAGCCCGAGTTAATTGCCTTTTTTTTCTCATCGGCGTTAAGCATTGTCAAGCCCGGTCAGTATTTAGATGGGGGACCGCTCGGGGACAACTGTAAATGAAAGCCGGATACAAAACTTGTCAGGCATGAGGCTAAACTTTATGCTGTAAAAACTTACTTTCTATGAAAACCACTGCAGTGAAACCTACTGTGTAGATATCTGTACTGTACTGTACTGATGTGGCATTCACCCTGGGCGGATTGAGCCGGCTTCTTCCTGTTATGAGAAGAAGATTCTTGGGATAAATTACAGAAGTAGGGTACCCAGGCCTACTCGGATAACGTTCTTGCTTGCCGCGGGATTCCCACAGACGCAGAGACAGGAACGACCAGAAGCCGCCGGTTACCGATGCAGACGCTCCTTGGATTTTCACCAGAGCCCTTGTAGCCGGCGTATGTGTCAGACCTCTCCGCCTTGGATGGCCCTACCAGGAACGAAGTTCCGGGCGGCATAGCTCTGACACTACCGTTTACACCCCCCACCGACTGTGAGGTAAGGGTTGGACTTTGGGGGCTTACAGTACCAGGTGTTCCCAAGCGGTCCCCATCTAAGTACTGACCTGGCTCTACGCTGCTTAACTTCGGTGATCGTATGAGACCCGTTGTTTCAGCGTGATTTGACCGTAGGCCCTGTGTAGATATCTGCGGTTCCATAATCCTCAGAGGAGTCAACGGACTTAAAAAAATGGAGTAGGGTTTCGCTACAGGAAAAGGCCACAAGTTCAGACGCTTATAATTAAAGAAAGCAGGTCCTCCATATGTCGTAAGTCTCCTTCACCGCCATCTAGATTTCTTGTTCGAGTCTGGATTACGTTTAGTAAATATTATTTTTCTGCTACTCCAAACGTTATTTTGCGGATGCCCATATGTGTGTAGACGCCTGTTTATTTAAAAAAAAAAAGTCAATTACGTCTACCGGCCTGCGTATTCGAGAGAATTATTAAAGAAAATACGCAGGTAAACATAATTCACTCAAATGCCAACCATGGTTATAGGATCCAGTCTCTCATGCTATTCAACCCATAACTTGAGCAAGAAGAGAAAAAAAAAAAAAACAAACAAAAAAAAAAACAGTTAATATCCATACGTGATAAACGTTCGGGCGATCATGTCTTTTTCGATTCACGACTGACTTGGCAGAATATTTTCCCGCAGTAGGTTGCCATTTCTTGTAGGCTTGATTGCCATCCAAGATTATAGGACCCAATCTGTCCTGCAATTCAACCTATAGCTGGGGTGGGGCAGAAGTGTCAGAGTCATACCTTTTTCCAAGCGTATTTCTGCATAAGTGTATGCAACGAACCCGACTGGAATTCGAGCTAAAGAATTTTAATGAGTAGAAAGAATAAATAAAAGAACATGATTCTATAAAGAGAGCTTGGAAAACTAGTATTCCTTTTTGTGTTTAATAGACGTTTCGAATTACAGTCTGTGATTTATTTATTTTTAATTGCATTGGTTATATTAATACTATGACAAACTATTATCAATTCATCCTCACGACATATGTCACTGGAGCACATTTTTAGGCAAGTCTCATAAAATTGTTTCTGCTAACGGATAAAAGTTGGATTAAATTATTTTGTTAAATGTTAACTCGTCTTTCTCTCATCTTTTCAAGCCTTAGTTGAAACTAGGTAAAGAATAGCAAATCCATAAAACATTAACGCTACAACGAAGGAGGCTTCGATGAAGAGATCCAGTTTATTTGTTTCTCAGTAGGCTGGCGTTTCTTTACGCAGTAGATTGGTTCCTAATTAAGACTATCCTGCTATTCAACCATAATTCGAGGGAGAAAAGATAAAGACAGTCAATATCCATACGTGATACACGTTTGCGTGATCCTGTCTCTTTCGACTCATGACTGACTAGCCAGAATATTTTCCCGCAGTAGGTTGCCGTTTCCTTATGCGGTAGACCGGTTGCTAGCCAGGGCTATAGAGCCCAGTCTATCCTGCTATTCAATCAATGACTGGGAGGAGAGGAGATAGATTTATATTATTCCCAAGGAGATTTGCACAAAAGTGAAGCCAATGAACCCGACTGAAATTCAAACTCGGCTCTCTTGATTCTTCAATTCTTTACACCCAATGCAATTCTATTATTTTAAGAAACAGGAAATTCAAATATTTCAGCACGATTGTCTTACTATTGCAGATGGACCACGCCTTGAAGTTTTGAAGGAACATTCGCATCCACTAATAACGTTTGGAGTAGCATAAAATTTCGGATAAAAAATTATATTGATTCCTTATAAATGAATTATCTATTTGTAGCTATCTTAACAGAAAGATTCGTAGGAGATGAAAAGAAATAGTTTTCAATCGAAATAAGTCCTTAATAATTCTTTTTCTATGCCACGGGTTCCTTGTGTTCTTCAAACATCTTGGTTCTTCACAGCTTCTTGTCCCTCGTAGCTCTTATAAATATTACTCTTTTTAATATCTCTCCTAATCCCTGTTCTGCCATTCATTTACCCAAGCTCTTTAGGTAAGTTATTTGCTATTTTCCTCTGTCCGTATTGCCTTCATCATGGCCCGTGTGTGTCAAATTATCCGAGCCATCTTTCCTGATGATGTACCCTAGAAATTTCAACTATGTCTTTCTGGTGTTAAGTATAAGTGTCCTTTTTATTTCCATTTTCTCTAAAACTTCGTCGTTGCTCACATGTTCTGTCCATGGTATTTACAGCATCATTTTGGAGAACAACATTTCTGTTGCCTCAAGCTTGAGGAGATTGTCCAGTATTGACTGTCATAGAGGAGGTCCGATATTACATAAGAGTTTAGTACTAACAAAATATTTTTTCTTAAGACATTGCTTTGTTTTTAGAAGACATCAATTGCTATCCAAATGTATCATCTGTTAAAACTTAATGTAGGTATTTAATTTATTGTTCTTTCTTAAGGCAAGTACAACAAATCTGCTTGTCATATCATATTTAAATTCTTCGGACTGTTACCCTCATCTTTATTTCCATATTCAAGACGTTTCAGCCATTGTACTCTCCGGTCTTCTTCAGGTGACTGGAATTTCATACAGCAGGGTAGATTGTGCCACATGATGCCCTCGTGTGTGTGGGGGGGGGTGACTAAATACTGTTCAGTCTGAAGTCGGACGACCCGGTGACCGGTTGATCGATTGAACTCTCTGCCGCCCTCGGGTGGGGAGGAACCCGAACAAGGCTATGTCGAAGGGAAGACTCCCTTTAGGGGAGGTAAACCGACCCTGAACCCGTTTATACGGGTTCAAAGGGCATATTTTTGGCCGAGCCCACGCGCTCGGAGATCCCACGGGCTCGGAGATCCCACGGGCTCGGAGATCCCAATGAAGAAAAGATCCCACGGGCTCAGAGATCCCATATTAAACCGTCCTTGTGCCACATGATACCTTCGTCGGAGGGTGGTGAAAGAAATACCGTTATCTTCCTTTAAATCTACTCTCCAATTTTTTATTCACCATGTATTGTACTCACCATTCTTCGGGTCATGTTACTGTAACCAACCAACTCTTTTATCCACTGGGCCATGTGTCCTTGTGAACATCAGTGTATGTATGTATACATCCTTTTACCAGAGTTCATATTGCAATTTTGTTGTTATTATCGCTTTTCTCTAGATGAGGACAACAGTTCGAACAATGTAAATAATAAAATTACCTTATCTCAGACAGATATTGCCATATCATATTGCAAACTAAAGGTCATAAAACAATGATTGGCATGAGGAGATTTTATTATTTATTGATCGTTCACCCACTAAAGGTCCAAATGCCACTCCAGGTAGACGGTTATTCTGTAGGATTATTGTAAGAAGACGGGTAGGAGGAATTATGAAATGCATATCATAAGGACGTGTAGGGTAGATATCGTTTGATCTTGTATTACGAGAGATCAATAATAATGTAATTGTCAGAGGAACATCCTCTTGGGAATCTCTTCCATAAAGCAACAGAACTGGGGAAGAAGCTGTCTGAGAGGAACTTGCTACTTATAAAAGGTGAGACTAAGGGGCGTAACACGTTCAAACATTTGTCCTAGTCATAGCGATAGAGTAGTGAGAGAGTAGCAATGTGTTCGTCTGAGAGACAAGTGTCACAGGGTTGAGAATAATGCAAAGCCTACAAGGCTGCTTTTGAAACGTGTCGCGTATGGACAGTGAGAATTGGGCAGTACCAGTAAAGACCG